TTTGAGATTACTCTCTAGCATACTCATTGGCCTACGTAATAGTCCTTCACTGAGGACCGTTCTCAGCCGAAAGAAGCAGCCTTCCTTTTTATGTGTGCATATTATCTTCTGTCAGGTGAAATGAAATGTCAAAGCCTATCTAATATGAAAATGTACGCTCTGCATTTAAGTGCCTGCCAACCAGTTTGGGAAACTTGCCTATGAGGGGGTTCAGCAAGGCTCACTTAACCACTTTTGTATGTAGTAAAAAGCCAATACCTGTACGCATTTTTACCACAGATTGTGGGAGATGAAGAACTCACTCAAGAGGAAAACAAACGGAATCAAACCACTGACCTCTCTTCATCACGCCCTGTCGTCTGTGGAGGACATGTCAGTCAAGTGTGTTAATACCTCTTATTTTCCTGTCTATAACCCTGAAGGCCAGCATACTTCAAGTCTGAGATCGGGCTGGAAGCGTTCTACGAACACCTGCTTGCTGGCTCTGTGGGTCCCTTACCGGCAACGGTCCTCTATAGGCAGTGTCATACCTGTCGTAACTTACGGATCACGAAACTCTTTCAATAACAAAAATTAGTATTCTCAGGTCAGGAAAGCGGTCGGGCACGGAAATATGGGTCCCCCGTACTAAAGTGACCTCGCATCAAGTCCCAGGAGGTTCCTATACCCATGCCCTAACCTTGACCCTTTTATTAACCCTCCTGGCCCCAGCCTTAACCATAACCCTAATCCTAACTCCCTAAGGCCTGATTTTAACTCTATCCCCAACCTAAAACCTTCTTGGAGTTTAGGACAAGGCCACCCCCAGCGCGCGGGTCCATGTTCCCGTGCCCAGTCAGTAGAAAACTGGACGCTAATGGAGTACTCCCTAAAAAAAACGGCAACATCAAAACCTAACATACCTTCAGCAGAGACTTGCGCAGTGACAAAACGTGGTCTAGGGTTGGCGAATATGGGAATAGAAATTCAAAATGAACGAAAAGTCTGTCCAAGTGCCAGTGTTCTTTGATGCACACAGAAGCGACACTTCAGTGTCGCAGGCGACGACGTCTGCCGTGTGCCTCGCACAGTGAACTCATCCCCCCGGTGAAGTGCGGGGTGAATCAGTTTACGGCTGGACTGTCTTGCGCAACATCCACCGCATTCTCTCCTGTCTCAGCCACCAGGCCCAAACGGCTGCTGGAAGTGGGCTCGCGTGGTGCGACCGGCAGAGCCAATCATCCCGTCTACGCGGACCACACGCGGGTCCGCCTCCGAAAATCCACCATATTTCGCATAAAGGCGGTGAGTCGACTCCCATCTGGGCGAGGGTGTCATGAAGATCACATTGCCAATGAGTCATGGAGCCTGACTTTCAGTCCTCAAGTCAGTAAGCTCACATACTCACACAGTACTGGCCGCGTGGATCGAGTTATCCCGGCAGTTGACAAACTCTCAAGTCATGACTGGTGGGTAATGCGGAAGCATGAAACACGCATAACTAGACAAATTTCGCCCTTGGACAGACTTAAACCGTCAACTTCTCAAATTCGTTTCAGGTGTTCAGTCTCCTGAATTTAAAGGGGCATCAACGAATTAACTGCTGCCGAAGAACGCCTGATCAGTATAGTTTTGGCCGAGATATTACCGGTAATCAGTGTATAAAAGGATGAAGAAAAGGATTTTGACACTAGTTAGAGACATGCCTCAGGGTATCCGTGTGAAAGTTCGTAATAAGATCATCTGAAAGACTCTGTCAAAACACTTAGGGCAGAACCTAGGGTCCAGTCGCTCACCTGACCCTATTTCTAGTTTGGCATCATGCCCCTTTAATAAATTTAAGGTTAAAACCGTCACGCGATTCGACGAATGTGACCGCTCCGAACGCCGCCAAGTCTCAACAGTGCCCCCAAAAGAGGATAGACACAACCGATTTGAATATTTGTTTGCCAAAATTATTTCTACTACCTTAAATCCGAGGGACAACTGGTGATTATCTTTGTGAACG